GATCCTCCTTAGCCTCACACACATAGGTTGTTATTGTTTAGCTAGTCTTCAGACTCACCTTTTTTTTCAAACTTTAAAACCTTTTGTTGTTCTTTTTTTAACAGGTCGGATGTGTCTGTTCTGAAGTCAACATTAAACTGTTACAACAATTTCTCTGAACCTCTGACCACCATCTGCACTCAGTTCTCCTCTAGTCAAAATGATCAGTCAAGTCCTTTCACATCCTCACTCTCCTATGTTGTGACTGAGATAAAATCGACAACCGCTCGTTTCTCAGAATGGCTGGGAGACATTCACTATAACCAGGTGAACACTCGCAGTGCCTCCAAAGTAGGTGCTGGTGGTGGTGGTTCAGTGGCAGGCAGAAGAAGTGCCCGGGGTAAGACTGATGATGGGGTTTCTTCCGGTCGACAGAGTGGCTCGGACAGTTCGGCAGATAAAAGCGCAGAGATTGTCGGAGAGTTCTTGAAGAAGACGGAGACTTTGGTGGAGTCTGTGCTGCTGAGTGTGCAGGGTGTGGTGCAGATTGAGGCAGAGGTTGCCGCTGCTAGTGTTGCTGCTGCTGCTGCAGGTGGTGATGGGACGGCTGAACAGAGCTCAGATGCCGCGACGGAAGGCCAAGGTTTGTTTTTCAGAGATTAACACTTTGCGGTCACTTGGCGCAGTAATGCGACAGTGAAAATCCTCCGTTCCGTTCCGGTCACGTGGCGCATTTCTGCGCAAGGCCGGAGATGTCCGTTGCAGTCACTTTCCTGGCTGGGTGACCTGATGGGGTATTTTGTACTGTTGGCTGTGTGACTGCAAAGTGTTAATAGGGATTTCTAAGTTTCTGAAAGTTTCTTCGCTCAATTCTTCCTTTTATTCAAATTTAAGTTTTTTAACATGTTTTAACATGTTCCCTAGGAATGTGCTTTTCCTGTCCAAGCTCAATTTATTTTCAAGATTTTTTTTAAAATTACCGATTCTGCTTTTCCAGCTTTAATTTTTATGGCATTAATCATTAAAGGAAAGAGTCCCATGACATGATGACAAAGATATGTCAAAGTTATTATGATTGTAAATGAAGATGTACTGACTGACACAGAAGAGAGATAAGGGGAGTTCTTTTGATAACAGAAATTATACAAAGTTTATACTAGTGTGCATTCACTAATTTTCTCTAGCTGTTTTGAATTGCTTTTACATGGGTCGTTGATAAACGTTCTCTTCTAGTTAAGAAGATACATAAGCTGTGTTAGTGGAAGTTTGATTTTATTTGGGTTTTTTCAAGTTTTCTTGATTGATCTTATGATGTATGAAATTGTCTTGGCTTTCAGACGCAGAATTACAAGAGGCGCACCTCACCAAACATTTGCTGGACAGAGAGACGCACCTGGTCAGTCAGCTCCGCTGTTCACAGGCAGGTGTTTTGTTTTGAGCAGTTTGGCTTGTTATTTCTGTCCCTCTGCCTTGCTTTTTAAAAAAAAATTTTCTCGAAAAGATTGTTACTAGATTTATATCAATGTGCTTCTCTTTATTCAAACTGAACTTGACCATTTATTTCTTCACTCAGACTCTGAGCAAACTGCAGGACCTCATCACTGACCTCAAGGGGGCCACAGACCAGCCGCACGAAGTGGCACCGTGTCACATGACCTGTGCGGAGGCTTTGTGCCAGGTCCAGCCCCTGCTGAAGACGTACACCGCGGCTGTGGAGAGACAGCTGGGCTGTGGGGTGCTGCTGCACCGAGCTATGGGCAAGCTGCTGTCTGTGCTGTTGGCTGTCTTCACAGAGCTGGCACAGAAGGTAGGTAGTCATTGTGCTTCTCATGAAGCTTCTCAGTAAACTAAATGTAGCTGTCAGAGATACTGACGATTTTATAAAGAAATCCGCAAATCAATTTGTGGTGTTTGTGAAGCCCAACGTTCAATAAATGGTTTTACGAATGTGTATCAAACAAAAGTCTCCTTCAAGATATATGTCAGTAACGTGTAATTTCAAATTTTTACAGGGTTTCTGCATTCCCCCGGAACTGAGTGAGGAGATGGAGGGTGAGGGAGCGACAGAGTTTGTGGACGCGGAGGGAGGAGGACTCGGAGAGGGACAGGGAGCTAAGGATGTCAGCGACCAGATCGAGTCGGAGGATCAGGTGAGAGGGGGTGATCATCTCTATGCTCAATGTGAGGAGCACCGTTTTTCTGTATAGTTTTTAGGTGGGGGAAATGTACCGTTGATGGGTCTTACTTCTCTTCTTTTTTCTGTTTTTTGTTTTTGTCTATCTGTCTTTGCTTCTTCCTTACACTTAATGACTGTTATCATATCAGTGTGGCTCTTTGTTTTGATGATGAAGATAGGGGTGTCATTTAGTTTCTTTTCTTGGAGTGTTTAAGAGGGGGGATACACTAAATGTAGGAGAAGTGTTGAGCTGTTCAGTTGGTCCCACCTATCCTCTTCACCGAAGGGAAATTCAGGTGAATTTGTCTGGGTTTTGCTCTTTATATAAAAGTAGTCTTTTTACAAGATGTATTAAACTACCCATGCGCGCATTTCCAAGGTGTCCAAAAACATTTTTTTAAATAATAAGTTTAGACACCTCTTTTCACGTTTGCAAATTACAATAATCTTAATAGGCTTTTCTGTTACAAGTGTTTTACCGTGCAGCCATCAAGTCTGAAAGTCACGTATTCCTTTTCTGTGTGTATGTGACTGTTGGAGACTGCTACAGAACTCCCTGCCTCGATCCTCCTTAGCCTTACACACATAGGCCCTGGAGTTTGCACAGCAGGAACATTTAAATATTGTCATACAGAAAGTGCTGTGTGTGCCATGGTATATTATGCCAAAGAGCTGTTTTAGACCCAACCTTGATGGCCCCCATTCTTTTCTCATTTTGTCTTGGGGGGGGGGGTTTGTTGGGGTTTGTTTTTTTGTTTTTTTTGGGGGGGGGTTATGAAACATGTTTCCCTTTGATGATTTATTTTCACTTCAATACTTTCTCTATTGTTGTCATCGTGACCTTTATTTCATTGACCTTAACCCTCCTCCACTTACTATTATATGTGTGGTCAAATTAGGTAGCTATGGTTGGAACATCTCTTTTCATTTTTCCTCTATCAGCTGATATTTATTTCACATCTTTGTTTATGTTTATCACGTTATTTCTCTCTTTCCCTTGCCTCTCTTGTCTTCCTTGTCTGTGTCACCTGGCTGTCTCTGACTGCCTTTTTTTTTCCATTCCAGTGATATACTGTCACTGCTTTCTTCTACTTTTACTGCGTCTGACTGTTGGGCAGTTTATCTTATATCTGATGTCATTGAGGAGGGGGGGTGGGGGGTTGTTTTATTTAATAGGGACAAATTTTGTTGATAATTGTGTTATGTTATTCATAAAGTTCAGCTTTACCAACACCCGTCTCTTCTCTTTCTTTGCAAAAGCCATGAAAGGTGAATGTTATATTTGTAATCAGATCAGACATTTCTATCACAAGCCTTTTGCCTTGCAGTCACCATATCACATAGTCACATATTCCTTGTCTGTGTGTATGTGACTGTTGGAGACTGCTACAGAACTCCCTGCCTCGATCCTCCTTAGCCTCACACACATAGGCCCTGGAGTTTGCACAGCAGGAACATTTAGATATTGTCATATTGAAAGTGCTGTGCGTGCCAGCACAGTATGTTACATTATGCTAAAGAGCTGTTTAAGACTCAACCTCACTCGCTCCCATTTTTTTCTCTTATTTTTTTTTTCCGAAATGTGTTTACCTGTGGTCTGTTATTTTAGTTTCAAATACTTTCCTCATTGTTGGTGAGTGGTTGGGGGGTGCCACTGGTAGGTCTTACTTCTTTACTTTCCCTCTGTAGTTTCTGTCTGTCTGTCTGTCTATCTTAATTTTTCCCAGCACTAGACGATCAGTGTGTCGATGTGCTTCTCTTTACTCATACAAACAAACCCCCATTGTTGTCATTTTTGACTGTGGTTTCATTGACCTTAGCCCTGCCTTCCTGTACTTTAATCTAAGCAGGCAGATATGGCAGGAACGTCTCTTTCCATTTACCTCTATCAGCTGATGTTTGTTCCACATTCTTGTTTATGTTCATCATGTTATTTCTCAGTCTTCCTTATCTGTGTCACCTGGTTGTCTCTGACAGTCTTTTTCTTTCCATGCCAGTAATTATACTGTCAGTGCTTGCTTCTACATTTACTGCGTCTGACTGTTGGGCAGTTTATCTTTTCTCTAATGTCATTGAGATTTTATCTTTTAAGTGTCAGCAGCGACAGGAATGTTGTTTGGTGACGGGTTTTTTTAAATGATTAAGTAGGGACAATTACTATTGGGAATGATGTTATGATATTCATAAATTTCAGCTTTACCAACACCAATCCCCCCTTTTTTTCTAAAACTATGAAAGGTGGGTGTCTTTTATAATTAGAATAGACATTTCTATCACAAATGTTTTGCCTTGCATTCACCATACCACATAGTCACATAGTCCTTGTCTGTGTGTATGTGACTGTTGGAGACTGCTACAGAACTCCCTGCCTCGATCCTCCTTAGCCTCACACACATAGGCCCTGGAGTTTGCACAGCAGGAACATTTACATATTGTCATATTGAAAGTGCTGTGTGAGCCCTCACAGCATGTTACATTATGCCAAAGAGCTGTTTTAGACCCAACCTCACTTGCCCCCGGTCTCTTTTCATTTATTTTTTTCGTAACATGTTTATTTGTGATAAGTTATTTTAGTTTCAATTACTTTCCCCACTGTAGATATTGTTATGGTTATATCGTTGAACTTTGCCCTTTTCCCCAGTACTTAAATCTGTGTGGTCAAAGTAGGAAGCTATGGCCAGAACATCTCTTTCCGTATGCTTCTATTAGCTGATGTTTGTTCCATCTCCTTGTGGCTGTTTCATTTTATTTCTCAGTCTTCCTGTCTTTCTCATCTTGCTGTCTCTGACTCTTTTTCTTTCCATGCCAGTAATTTGCTGTCACTGCTTGCTTCTATTTTGACTGCGTCTGATGACTGTTGGACAATTTATCTTATCTCTGGCATCCTTGAAATTTTATCTTAAAGTGTCAGCACCGACAGATATGTTATTTTGTGAGGGTTGTTTTTTTTATTATTTAGTAGAGACAAATATTTTTGGGAATAGTGTTATGTTATTCATAAAGTTCAGTTTTACAGTCACCAATCCCCCTTTTTGCAGCCATGAAAGGTGGATGTCTTTTATAATTAGAATAGACATTTCTATCACAAGTGTTTTACCTTGCAGTCACCATATCACATAGTCACATAGTCCTTGTCTGTGTGTATGTGACTGTTGGAGACTGCTACAGAACTCCCTGCCTCGATCCTCCTTAGCCTCACACACATAGGCCCTGGAGTTTGCACAGCAGGAACATTGACTTTATTGTGATGGATACATTGAGTGATGTGTTTATCAACATAGCATAATTAGTATACAGAGATTTTTTAACCAGTTATCGCTTTTTGTGTCCATGTTGTTCAGAGGGGTTTTTTTTTGTTTGGTTGTTTTTTGTTTGTTTTTTCGTGTGTGTGTGTGTATGTGGGGAGGGGTAATGAAATGATGAAACGGAAATCCCTCTTACCTGAGTGGGTGGTTAGTGGGTGCCTCTGGTGTGGTTTGCTCCTCCTTTTCTATCAAACATTTATTGTCCTTATCTCTCCTCCTTTTGTGTGTGTGTGTGTGTTTGTTGCTTTCTTGTAACGCCTCTAATTGTTGACACTTATGTGACCTTATTGTGTTGGAAGTGTCATAAAATTTTTACTAAAACTAAAAAAAACTCACATTCACTAATTACAGTTGGACGAAGCGAAACAAGCCGGCGAGAAACAGCAGGAGGACGACGGAGACCAGCCGGACATCGACGCTGAGGACAACGCCATTGAGATGTCGGACGACTTTGGCGGGAAGCTCCACGACATGGATGCCACAGGTGGGGACACTTCTTTACTGTTCCTCCAACTTACTTTTACTTTTTCCTTTTCTTTCCTCTCTTATCCTTAGGATGTTGAGGGGAGGTGTGGGTTTGGGTCCTGTGCTAAGTGTGTGGCGTTTGTGATAGATATGGCATGTTGTTCAAGGACCCTTTTATCCCCATGAATGAATGCATGAATTATTGCTTTCCCTGGAAATTAGCAGTTTTTAAGCAAGACAAGGACAAAGAAAGTAGCCAGATTTGTGCTCTCTTTTGCATATTTCTGAAGTAGGTAGTTATAGGATGATGCTGGTAAGCTCAACTTCAACAACTTAATTTTTCTTTTGTCAAGTCTTCTTGTCCTCACTTTTTTTTTTTAAGCTCAAAACGTTTCACGCAGTTTTTGTACAGAAGGTTTTTTTCTTCAATCGTGCCATGTGAAATGATGACTGAAGCAGTTCTGCTTTTATCTAGTTTATGCAGTCTGTAATTTGAATCCAGTTATACCAAACCTAATGACATGAGATTTTGGCTCCAGCAACTGTTCCTTCAAAGCAGACAATCTTTTTGAAGTAGTTTTTGTGGAAAGACTCGAAGCGAATATTATTTCATATTTTTTAAATTTCAATAGTTTTGTGTCTACCATGATAATGATGAATATTTATTTTTATCAATTGCAGATGATAAGAATGATGAAAATGACGATGACAAGAAGGAAGAAGAGGAAGATATGGAGAGACAGATGGGTGATGCTGACGGAAACCAGGAGGAGAGATTAGATGAGAGGATGTGGGGAAGCGATGATGAAGAGAATGTGGATGAGGAAAAAGTATGATTTTTCTTAGTACATAGATAGATATATCAGGGGGGGGGGTTTTTGGGGGGGGGTTAATTCTGCTCTCATGACAGTAGATCATTTAGAGGTTTTTGAGGAGGATGCTTGTGTTTTTTTGAATGGCTATAAACAAAATATGCAAACTTTAATTTGATGAGGTGATTGTTATATTTTCACCCCTTTAAAATTTTTACAATTTTGATCTCCTTATAGTTAAATCTTTTGTCTATTAAACTGTTCTGTGGATATGTCATTGGTCACTATTTCTCAGTTTTTCAACATCTCACGTAAAAGTCCTTATCAGGCAGTTACCAATCCTTAGGTCACGTAGGCTTTACCTATGATCTTATGTGACTGTTGGAGACTGCAACAGAACCCCCTGCCTCGATCCTCCTTGGCTTTTCACTTATGGGCCCTGGAGTTTGCACAGCAGGAACATTCGATTATAAAGCTATGCCAAAGAGTTGAGACAGTTTGTAATTTTAATGACAAACAAGATTGTAGCTTTCACATTCATTGCAAAAGGAGCATGCTCTGTTGTGTTTTGAATAAGACTTTGTGCCTAGGAAAAATGTTATTCAAATGCAGGAGAAATAAAAACAGAAATGTCACTCTTCCCTCTTTTGTGACACAAATTATCTACACATGGTCAAAAAGTGTAAAGCAATACATTGATATATTGGTATATTGCTGGGGAAGAATAAAAGAACAAAAATTTCCTTTATTGGAGTTTACATTTTGCATCTTCAAACAAATAATCTGTGAAATTTTCCATTTTGCCGTCTTACTAATCAACCAAAGACAGTTCCAGCCTTGATTGTAAATTGACGCAGGTGGTTAGAGGGTGGTACTGGTTGGTCCTACTTTTTTTTATTTGGCTCTGTTGTTTTTGTCTTTTACAATTACTTTATTTTGCAAATTTTAATTAATTAATTTATTTCACAAGATTCTCTGGGAAAAGACGTTTTCAGTCTTCTTGCCCTCTTGACCATTTGAGATTTTTCTCCAATTTTAGTACCTTCAATTTTGATCTCCTAATAATAAGTTCTTTGTCTTATAGACTGTTTCGTTGGTGTGTCATTAATCTGTTTGCTATTTCTTTTATTTCTTTTTTATTCAACATCTCACGTACAAGTCCTCATGAAGCAGTTGCCAATCCTTAGGTCACATAGGCTTTATCTATGAGTTTATGTGACTGTTGGATACTGCAACAGAACCCCCTGCCTCGATCCTCCTTGGCTTTAACCTTATGGGCCCTGGAGTTTGCACAGCAGGAACATTGCATAGTAAAGCTGTGTCAGACTATTGAGACTGGTAATTTTAATGACAGGCGAAATCGTAACTTTAATTTTCATTGCTTACAGAGCATTCGCATTGTGTTTTGAATAATGATTTGGAAGAGCAGAAGCATAGGCCTCAACAAAAACAAGGGTGATGACGACGACAGTAATAAAACAAACACTCGCAAACTCATTGATCTTTATTCTTTTTTTTTTTCTATACTAATTTTGTTAATCCTCTCTTATTGCGACATTAGAAGAAGAATATTTACGCATTGTTTTGTCTGCTAAACAAAAAAAGCATCAGATGATAGGATTGAGCAGGGACCAAGAAGAAAAATGATTTGGAAAAGTTTTGCTCAAATGCAGGAGAAACAGAAATGTTATTCTTCCTTTTTTTGTGACACAACACCATCTCATGGTCAAAAGATGTAAAGCGATGCACTGATCTATTGGCGCATGGCACAGAAAGAGTTAAAATTTCTTTCTCATAAATTTTCATTTTAAGTCCTCAAAAAAGTAATACACCAAAGTCTTTGTTTTATCATCTTACTAACCGTACTTGTTCTCTGCAGTAAATTACAATTATTGTGTCAAAATGCCTCTCTTTATTCAAACGTTATCAGCAAATTGACTAGGGTTCTTAGAGAAGATGTAGTTCAATGTGGCTTTAGACTGAGTGCTTAGAATCGCTTGCTGCTTTATAGATTTCAAGTTGTTTAGCTTTTCATCTCGAATGAAATGGCAGATGACTAACATTCAATCTGTACTGTACAGGCTGATAGGAAATCTTTACTGTACAAGCAGATGACTGACATTCAATCTTTACTGTTCTAGCAGATGACTGACATTCAATCTTTACTGTGTTAGCTGATGAATAACGTTCAATCTTTACTGTTCAAGCAGATGACTGACATTCAATCTTTACTGCGTTAGCTGATGAATAACATACAATCTTTACTGTGCTAGCAGATGACTGACATTCTATCTTTAGGCCTACTGTGCTAGCAGATGACTGACATTCAATCTTTACTGTACAGGCAGATGACTGACATTCAATCTTGACTGAAAAAGCAGATGACTGACATTCCATCTTTACTCTGCAGGCTGATGGCTAATGTTCAATTATTCAATCATTACTGTGCAGGAAAACAAAGATGATGAAGGGGGAGGTGGAATGGACAAGAAGGAGGAAGAGATGGTGGCAAAGGACGATAACAAAAATGCTCCCGAGGCTAACCAGGAGGAAGACAACGAGATGGACAGACAAAAGGAGGAGGATACACAGCCGAATGAGTTGATGAGTGATGATGTAAGTGAGCTAGGGGCTGTGAGGGAGAAAGAGCATAATGATAATACAGTGGTGTCCGCCTTACAGCGACCCCATTTGGAAGTAGTAGGCGTTGGTTGCTGTTACAGCTTGTTCACTTTGTTCTGTCAGAGGTAAAATAATTCTAGATCCATTTATTAATTTACCTATGCCTACGAAACTTTGCATGGCACTTCTGCAGGCCAGCAATTAAACAAAATTAATTTTTCATAAATATTTATCCAGCAATAAAAAAGTTGGTCTATTTGGGCCCTATATTAAAAACTGTGTTTTGGTGCAGGATCACTTTTTTGTATTTGTTACTCTCTTGTAACACCTCATATCTTCAGCGCTTATATGACCTGATTATGATGCAAGGTATAAAACGCTTACTAAAACTATTAGTAGATGCAGTGTCTTGCAATCTTTTTTTTCTTTTTTACTTGTTGTTACTGTCCTTCCTTTTGAAATGTGGCTATTTTCAACTCTAATCTTATATATATATTCCTGTATGCTTTTTAAAAATATGTATTTAGCATGCAGTCACCAAACACTGAGATCACATATTCCTTGTCTGTGTGTATGTGACTGTTGGAGACTGCTACAGAACTCCCTGCCTCGATCCTCCTTAGCCTCACACACATAGGCCCTGGAGTTTGCACAGCAGGAACATTGATAGTTTCAAAATACAGAGTTACCTTTGGATTATTTTTTCTGTTTTGCTCTCCATATGCTAAACAAATTTCAGTGGTTGTGTACATTTATAATTGGTCAACATTGACTTTTCATTTTTTGAATTCGATGTAGGAATTGCCGTTTGTTACTTGTGTTGGATAAAGGCAGGATTTAAAATGCAGGTTTTTAAAGCAATGGCTGTCAGTGGATTTCTGTGAATGCTTTGAATTATGAAGGTGTCTAAACTATTAATGCTATTTCTTCAAACCTCATTATAAGATGTATGTTTCTGACGATAAGGGCAGGCAGTTAATGAAATGCAGTGCTGTGGTAATCTTCCCCTTTTTTTTTCACATTACAGGGCTGTTCTTGTCTCAGCTAAAATGTGGCTGATCTCAACTCCAATGTATTTTTATCATGTGCTTTATAATGATATGTATTTAGCATGCAGTCACCAAATACAATCACATATTTCTTGTCTGTGTGTATGTGACTGTTGGAGACTGCTACAGAACTCCCTGCCTCGATCCTCCTTAGCCTCACACACATAGGCTCTGGAGTTTGCACAGCAGGAACATTGACTGACTCAAAATACAAAGTGTATTAGTAAAACGCTATGATATAGGTTATCAGCTTTCAAAAAACAAAGAAAAGGTGTTTTTATGCCCTCATCTACACAATTTAGATCTTTCAGGAGACCGGCTTCGGCCCTGATTGCCTCTACTTGTTCTTCATTGCATTCCCATCCCATGCTGAGAAGGATACAATATCCCAGCAGAAAGACTGAGCTATGAATTCAATATTTATCCCCACTCAGTAATCGAACTCGCATCTCCTGCGTGCAACAGCTAAGCGTCTAACATCTATGCCACAGATGCTTCCCTCTTTTACCAACTGTGGTCATGATGAATCTGTGTAATGGTTAGGTTCTTTACCTGGGACACAAGGAGTTTACACTGCGAGAATATTGACTGCTTTATTGTTTTAGTAAGCGTTTTACTGCACTTTCAACTCAATTTGAGTGCCAAAGACTAGAGGTGTTTCTAGACAGATAAGGACAATAGATGTTTGATAGAAAAAAAGGAGCAAACCACACCATGGCACCCGCCAACCACCAACTGACTGATTTAGAGTATGGGATTGGGTAGTTTTTCTGTTTTGTATCCCCATTATTATTTCTTCAAGCTGCGAAAAAAATGTGTTTCCCATGCTCGAGAGAGTATATGCAATTAACACTTAGTCGCCTCATCTCGCCGACTGGCAATGTTTACCGCGCAGTTTCTTTGGATTTTCCCCAAAATATGAAGGCGAAGTGTTAATTAATGCAGTTTGTTGTAATCTTTTTCTTTTCTTGTAGTCACTGGGCTATTTTCCTTCCTGTTGAAATGTGACTATTTTCAAATCCTAATGTATTTTCCTGTATGCTTTATAAAAATATGTATTTAGCATGCAGTCACCAAACACTGAGGTCACATAGTCCTTGTCTGTGTGTATGTGACTGTTGGAGACTGCTACAGAACTCCCTGCCTCGATCCTCCTTAGCCTCACACACATAGGCCCTGGAGTTTGCACAGCAGGAACATTGACTGTAGTTTAGAACACAAAGTGCTTGTATGATCTTTTCTTTCCCTCTGTTGTCTCTATTTGTTTGTCTTGGCTTTTTCCACGTACTGAATGACCTGGATCTTGTCAATGTACTTCTCTGTTTTGTCATTAGATTTTTTTCTTCTTGAAGTTTACCAGGAAGGAATGTTACATTTTAATGTACAGAAGTGTAAACTTGTTCCTGAACTGCAGATTTACTTCCCCACCCCACCCCCATTTTGTTATTAATTCAGAATGTATCATTATTTCTTATTTCATCATCAGTTCCTATTGTATTGTGTTATTAATCCAAAATGTGTCATTTCTGATTGTGCACAGTCTCCCTCACACAGTCTCCCTCACACTATCGTGTCATTAATCCAGAATTTGTCATTATTTCTTATTGTGTCATTAATTCCTATATGCATCATTAAATCCAGATTGTGGGTGGTTGGCGGGTGCTTTGGTGTGGTTTGCTCCTTCTTTCCTACCAAACATCTATCGTCTTTATCTCCACTCCTTCTTTTTTGTGTTTGTTACTCCCTTGTAACACCTCTAATCTTTGACACTTATATGACCTTATTGTGTTGCAAGTGCTGTAAAACTCTTACGGAAAAAAAAAATCCAGATAGTGTCATTATTTCTGACTGTGTCCCTCACAGGAGGAGTATGACGACAACAAGGTCAACCCTCACCGGCCTGAGGAGGACGAGGAAGAGACGAAAGATCTGGACTTGGGAGAGGATCTCAACCTGGAGGGAGATCAGGATAAAGGTAAGCATGACACCGGCTTGCTTTTTTTCTCTGGCCGTAGAGTTCTTAATTGTTTATTTTTGCTGAATATTAAATGCTTGTTTGGTTGTTGGGGTTTTTTGGTGGGGTTTTTTAGTTGTTCTATTTATTTTTTATTTATTTATTTATTTTTTTTTTTTTTGAGAGGGCATATTTTTGTACCCATATTTTATTTCTTCATGGTGTCTTTGACTTTCCAGGAGTGAAAAATTTTGACAAAAGAAGTTTTTATTCATGAGCAGGGACTATCAGGTTGTAAGACATTTTAAAAGACAATGGAGGACATACAGTAACTAGAAAGGGTTTCACATTTTTTAAAAACCTTTAGTGCTAATTTTACAATGTAGAGATCAGATTATTTTTACGATTTTTTTTTCTTTCCACTCTTCAGATCAGGACAATGAGAAAGACATGGAAACAGAGGATGTCCAGGAACAAGAGAACCAATCAGAGAAAGATGAGGAGCAAGCGCCAGAGGCAGACCAGTCAGAAGACAAGGATGGGGATGAAGATGGCTCACAGGTAAGACCGTTCTGTCTCCGACAGCAGCTCAATATGTGGTGGTATCGTGGTGAAATCAGGCCCTCATCAAAATGTATGGCTATTTTTATTGATTTTTTGGGTTCGTTTTGGGCTCATCACATTTTTATGTTCACTGAAAAACACATTTCTGCATGGATTTTACTGAAAACCGTTGATCAAAGCAACAACGAATGTAAATTTGCAGTTTTGAGTCACATCAAACTTTAGTGCTCATTTTCTTGCTAGTTTTTCCTCTGACACCAGGTGACCTCCCCCTCCTTCTGTCACAAATATCTGGACTCTTATTCAACGTAGATGGGTATTAGTTTCATACAAAGCAAGGCAAATGAACAGGCTTTTAGATCATACCAATAATATCCGTTAAAAATTTTAAAAAATAATTTTTTAACTGTTCTGTCGTGTATAGTTGAGTGTACGGTTGTGAAAATTCTTCTTCATGTAGTTGAACTGGTTTTTCTTGTTTCTGTGAAATATTTTTTCTTATGTGAATGATTATGTGATTGGTGTAAAGCGCTCAGAGCTTATACTAGTATGGGATAGAGCGCTATATAAATGCAATCTATTATTATATTATTCCATCGACACCACATTTAGCCTGCAGTCCCCGAATACTTATATCACATTCTCCTTGTCTGTGTGTATGTGACTGTTGGAGACTGCTACAGAACTCCCTGCCTCGATCCTCCTTAGCCTCACACACTTAGGCCCTGGAGTTTGCACAGCAGGAACATTTCAGTAGTTAAGATCATAAAGTGCTTAGATACTTTGTCTTGGCTTTTTACATGTACTGAATAACCTTGATTGTGTTGGTCTAATTCTCTGTATTGGCAAAAACAGAAATGTGATTTCATTGTGGGGGGGGGGGGGGGGTTCGGGCGCACATGATATGTCACAGTGAAAGTGCTCTGGCAGGATTATGGGTACAAGATTTCTAGCAAGTGTTTTATATTAACTCTCTAAAACATTGTGGAAGTGGACCCCCTTATAGATGGTGTGAATTGTGGCGATGGGGATGTAAAACATTTCCTAAAGTTGACAATTGTAATTGATGCTATAAGACTGTTACATGGTATAGAGCACTTCTGTGCATAATTACTTGTAGGGTGCTGATTGCGGGGAGCCAAATCTAGATTTTCATGTAAATGCATGGTACTTGTACTGATACAAAAACTATACTGGGTGTTTTTTTAGCCTCGAGAATGTTTTCCTTTTTCCCATTTTGTACATTTTTGTGATGTGTATGTGTGTGTTTGTCTGTGTGCAGGAAACACCTGCTGCTGAAGCGGACAAGGACGAGGAGGCTGAGGAAGACACTGAGGTGGACACAAACACAGACGCACAAAAGCCGGAGGAAGAGGAGGATGGAAAGGGAGAGGAGGGGGCTTCTGCTCAGGTGGGAAATATTGACAGAGGTGTCTGTCTGTGAGTGGGTGTGTGTGTGTGTGTGTTTGGGGGGAAAAGGGAAAGATTATTTCAAATGTGGGACCTCCAAATTTAAATGTCTATCTCCTATAGGACCGAGATAAATATCAATATTTGTGTAAAGAACCTTTCCCAAGGAAACTATGTCGGGCTGAGCTGAGCCTCAAATCCCCCAAACCCGCAATCTGATGATTATGAGTCTGGTGGCCTAACCACCGGTCTACTGATGCTATAGAGAGACTTTTCCTCTGGTGAGAACTGTAAACAGGTGAGAAGAAATGCTAGAGACAAGGGATGGAATGGGGGGTGAAAATCAGATTGAAATATGTCAGATTTTACAAATAATTTTGTGTCTTATGTTTTGCTTATTGATCATATTGTGTCAATGTGTTTTGTTTAATGACAATGTTGTGTCATTGTTACTTGTTTACTAGTCATGATGTGTCAGTGTGTCTTGTTTACAGGTCATATTGTGTGAATGTCTTGTTTTCCACTGGTGTTGTGTGTCAATGTGCGTGTCTTGTTTACCTATTGTGTTGTGTCAATGTGCTTATTTTCGCGAGTGGTTGGAGGATGTTACTGGTAGGTCTTACTCCTTTACTTTCCCTCTATTGTTTCTGTCTGTCTGTCTTACTTTTTCCCAGCCCTAAATAAACCATTATTATGTCGATGTGCCTCTGTTTACTCAAACAACAAACAAGCATACTCATGATACTTACCCATCTTGTTGTGTCAATGTGTCTCATTCCCGTCTGCGTGGGTGGTTGGCAGGAGCTCTGGTGTTGTTTACTCCTTTTTTCCTACCAAACATCTATCGTCTCTATCTCTCCTCCTTTTTTGTGTTTGTTACTCTCTTGTAACACCTCTAATCTTCAGCACTTATATGACCTTATTGTGTTGCAAGTGCCATAAAACTCTTACTAAAACTTTAAAAAAAACAAGATGTCTTGTTTACTATCGAATGTGGGTTGTTGGAGGGTGCTCTGGTGTGGTTTGCTTCTTCTTTCCTATCAAAAACTATCGTCCTTCTGTCTCCTCCTCCTTATTTTTTGTGTTTGTTACTCTCTTGTAACACCTCTAATCTTCAGCACTTATATTACCTTATTGTGTTGCAAGTGCTGTAAAACACTTACTAAAACTAACCTGTTCCCGTCTGCAGGAAGAGGAGGACAAACCCACGTCCCAGCTGAAGAGAGACCAGGAAGAAGAAGCGGCCGAGCCGAGGCCGGGCCAGGACGGGGACTCTGCCCAGGATGCCGGGAGTGCCACAAACCCAGAGGTGGACACAACGGCTGGAGAGGTGGACCAGGACACGCCCGCTGAGGACACGCAAGACAGGGTAGGTGCTGGGACAATGTATAAAAACAGGATAAATAATAAAGTCTTAAAAATAGATTACATTTTTATTGATCCCAGAAGGGCAATTTGGTTTACAATGGGAAACATACGTTCATGCATAAATAATAAAATAATAAAAATGGTAAAAATAACATTTATACAGTTCTTTTGTGTTTATTTCAAAAGTGGTGTTTCTGGACTTAAAACTTTTTGCGACTTTCACCTTCGATATGGTCTGCAAATTTTGAGTCCGCATACATATGATTTCAGGAGTCAGAAAAGTTCAGTGTTATTTTTTGCCGCTATTTTGGCACCTGTGGATGATTAATTTCCCTCAGGGGTAAATGCATGTTTGTCCCTGAAACATACAGAATATGCTTGTGTAACATTTTAAGTTCCAATGAATAATTTAGGTGCTTTGAAATTGATTTGTTTTGTGTTGTCTCTGTTGTGCACAGGACGGTTTGGGGACAGCCCAAGCAGAGGCTGAAGAGGGTCACACTGGGCAACGGTCAAGGCAGAGTGCTGAGACGCCCTCGGACGCACAGGACACTCAGGTGGGTTGGGTTTGTGTAAAGGGTTGTTGTAGGTTTCATGTTGTATGTATGTGTATGTATCTCTGTGTGTGTGTGTATCTTTGTGTGTGTATGTGTCTGTGTGTGTGTGTGTGTATCTTTGTGTGTGTCTATGTGTGTGCACCTGTGTTTGTGTGTATGTGTGTGTGTGTGTGAGAAAGAAAGAGCAAGAGAGTACAGACAGTTAGGTGAGTGTTTATGTGAAAAGGGTTGTCTTGTTTTGTGGCCTTGATTTGTGTTTGTGTGTATGTTTGTGGGGGGGGGGGGGGATTTGGGAGTGAAGGGGAGGGGACGGGCAGGGATAGAGAGAGAATGTGAGCGTATTTAACTGAGTAAGTTCTTAGCATACCAGGGGACTCTCGTGGTCAAGTCTCTCAGTCTGACAGTCTGTCTCTTCTTCCCTTTGAACCTTCTCTATATCCCCCCCCCCCCCTATTTTTTCCCCTTTTCCTCCACACTCACCCTTATATATTGCTTCAGTGCCACACTGAATGAAGTATCGTTGTAACATTTTTTCCTCCAGAGTCAAAGAAAACCGGGTAAATCCGACAGCGACCGAACCCTCGGCTCCCACGATCGTCAGCACCGACGTCTCAAGACCACAGACGAGGCTCGTGAAAAACGTGATGAGGCTGACGATGATGAAAATGACGAAAAGGGTGAGAAGAAGGATGAGAGACATGCGGAGTATGAGCACGTGAAGGACGCTCGGTCACAATGGGACGCACAGACGGTTGATACAGCCACTGCGGAGCAGACAGCTGACAAGCAAGCTGTACCTTCACAAGAGGAGGAGGATGAGGAGGAACAGCTGAAGGCTGATGAGGATGTCAAGATGGAGGAGGAGAAAGAAGAGGAGGTGAGAAGTATAAAGAAAAAGAGGTTTGTTTGGTCGGAAGATGGGAATGAAGGATGTGCCTCCTTAAATATCAAAGGAGTGAAAGAAAATATTGCTGAAATGAAAATGAGTTTTCAGAACTTAAGACCAATAATATGTCATTTCTGATAATAAGGTTTCATAAAATAATAATTGGAAGTAAAAAGCCTGAATACTAACATAAATGAAAAGATTGATTGATTTGATGATGTAACTTGTGTGTGGTTGGCGGATGCTCTATTGTGGTTTGCTCCTTCTCTCTCCTATCAAACGGCTATCGTCCATATCTTTCCTCTGTTTTTGTGTTTGTTACCCTCTTATAACACCTCTAGTCTGAGGCACTTATATGACCTTATTGTGTTGCAAGTGCAGTAAAACTCTTTCTAAAAACTAAACTTGATAGTGTAACTCTTCTGTAGTCTTTCTAGCTTACCATTGTTCATAGAATAAGAAAATAGCTTGAGGGAATGGTGTATGAAGTCAGTTAGTAATGTTTTGTCAGAGGCTCAACAATTCCTTGAGCTCTTTCTACATAAAGATGGCACTTATATTTTTGTACGAGTTTATGATTTGGCAACTAATTCTCCTCTCTCTTATGTCTCCCATGCTCAGATGGACGCAGAAGCACCGGAGAAGAGAGCGAAAAAAGCGAAGGAGTCGAAAGAACAGGACAGCGGTGAGACAAAGGAAGGAGGGGACGGGCAGGATGGACAGGCTGTAGAAGTGGAGGGTGACCGCGTATTGACCATGACAGTCGACAGAGCCCCAGAGTCCAGCATCCACACCGTGCTGGAACATCTACACCTGGGATCTCAGGTGAGTTCAAAATGTTGCAGATAATTCATTGTTATTATTTGTGAGGCATGCTGACAGAATGAGATACTTCTCGCAATCCGTGAATGGAGATATCAGCCAAAAATCAACACAAAGGTCATATTTGTAGATTCTAAACCAGTGCTATTTTCCTTAAGTTTAACTTGTCTTATATGATATCATACTAAAAAATTGTAAAAACTCTACCTTTATATTTTTTGGTATCTATTTGCATTAGGTTAAAATCCGAGAAGTAATTCATTTTGTGAGCACACCTCACATTTTTTGTTTATGTAAATGTAGTGATGTCTAAGCTGGCAGGAAAGTTGGTTGTTTGTTTTTTTACAGTATGTCTGAAACGTATGTTTGGAAAGAAAAAAAAGGAATGAAATGACTTGAGTAGTTACTAAGTAAACCATTATCCCCTTTTCGTGCTTAGCCCATAAATGGCACAAATATTATAGTTATTAGATTAGTTATGAATGGACCGTTGTCAATTTTTTAACAAATAATTAATTAAGTAAAGTAAATTTTCCAGTATCCATGAAACTTGTTCTTGTCTTAAGTAAGTAGTATTAAACCAAGATGTTCTCTTATTAGTGGTGAGTCCCTAAATGACATAAACATTGGAGCTGTAAGATTAATTATTCATGAGTGGAACACTGTCAATTCTTGCAAAGTAAAATAATTTTCTGTTTTCTCTGCAATTTATATATGTCAAAAGAAGGGTATAAAATAAATGCCCCCCCCCCCCCTTTCTTTCCAAGCCGCTTACTTGAATTTATATTGATTCTGAACATTAAATCTCCTGTATACATAGTCAATCATTCATTACCTGTAAGGTGCCCCCCTCCCCCTCCAAACCACACGCACACATATACACACCACACACACACAAACACACACACATACACACCACACACACACAAACACACACACATACACACCACACACACACACACGCACACATATACACACCACACACACACAAATATGGTGATTTAAAAAACAGCAATGTATTTTTCTTCAAGTCAGTCCATTCATGCTGTGCAATTTCTCTAGGTCTCTGAGTTGGACATTGGTCAGTTGCGAGCAGATCTGGAGCAGTGTGTCAGTCTGTGGTCTCATCCAGAGCAAGAAGATGAGGATGTGGTAAGTTTCTGCCCCTTTGATTTCTTTTTTTGGTCTTTTTTTACGACCTTTGGTCTTTGACCCCTACGCTTGGTGTCATAGCAGGATTTCCATTGTAAGTGTAGGAGATGTTGGTAGTTTTGAATCTCATATGTAAGTTTTCACAAGTCTGTACCTTCAAGTCAGACAAGGTTTCACCATGAAAAAGGCAGGAAAATAAAATTTAATTTTTATCATTTTATGATTATTGTAAGGTCATTGTGGGGGCTAAATGGTGCAAATAATTAGGTTATTATTATTCTCAGTTAACCCAAATTTTGTTGCCTCAAAGATTGTTCATAGCCATAATGATTTTTTTAAAAAGATAATGGGAACTGTATATGTTTTATCAAAGTGGGCCCATTGTTGAGGAGAAAAGTAGTTATCATAGATAGGTGAATGTCTAGGACAGTGTCATTATGATATAAGATAAATGATGGGGTCATTTATTTGTTCGTACAAGTGGTTTTCTTGGACAGATGTTTGTTAAAACAGATTCGACTATATTAATTATTATATTTGCTGGGTCCTTTTCTTTTTTTTTTTTAATTACTTAGCTTGATGCCCTGAGGCTGTATTATAGTCATATGTAGTAGAACATGATTATATATCAAGCTTTTATTTTTTCATTCCCCCACCCTTATTTTTAAAAAAAAAGTTTTTTGTTCTCCCTGTCTTCCAGGCAGCGGCAGCGAGTGAGGCGTGGCAGCAGTACCTGGCCGTGACGGGCAGCCTGGCACAGGAGTTGTGTGAGCAGTTACGTCTTATCTTGGAGCCCTCGCAGGCCACCCAGCTCAGGTGGGTTGTCGCTGTGTTCGTGGATTTGTGTAGTAGTCGAGGAAAAAATGACTGTCTGTCTTAATGAAGGATACAGACGACCGTGGTCCAAAGGGTTACGGTTTAGGATAGCCAGTTGGAGGTTCGGGAGGGGGAAGGGGAGAGAGTTAGAAGATGCTTAACAAATAGATCTAAACATTAATATTCATATCCTGATTTTCTTTCATCTTATTGATGAAATATTGTATTTGTTTACGCATGTTTTCACAGTTAATGATTGTCTGATGTGAATAATTTCATTAACTTGGCACCCGAATAAGAGATATGAGACCAAAAAGATTTTTAATAAGTTTTTCACAGTCTGCACCGGACTGCATTACCGTGGAAACCATATATAACAGGCCCAGTAATAACAGGGATTTTTAAAATCCCCAATTTTTCCTACTATTTGTCTTTATTAAAAGTTATCGGTAATAACAGGGCCGTTTCGGAGCCCAATCGATTATAGCAGGGACAAAGGCTCGTAACAATATATAAAAAGTGAGAGAGAGAGAGTAACGCAGTGATGGAGCAAGCCCACTTCAAGCACACGCAGCGGGTGAAGCGAGAGAGCCCCCTAAGCCTAGCTACACGCACATGTAATGTGTCATGCGCAGGCCTGCCACATGGTACTTATGGCAAGGGAAACTACCCATGAATAAATACAGCTAGATTAGTCCACAAATGCTTACTTCCCTTACATTTCTGATTCAACAAGGATCTGATATAAGGTGGCTTTTTCTCTGGTCCCACCATCCCTGTTATATCAGGTTTCCACTGTATATGTGAAGACATCGAAGTTCAAATAACAATACTAAATTTTTCCTTATTTTGTTTGTCTCTTCAGGGGAGATTACCGCACGGGCAAGCGTCTGAACATGCGCAAGGTGATCCCGTACATCGCCTCGCAGTTCCGTAAGGACAAGATCTGGCTACGCCGCAGCAAGCCCAGCAAGAGACAGTACCAGATCATGATCGCCGTGGACGACTCTTCCAGCATGGCTGACAGCCACACCAAGCAGGTTTGTTACATCTATATGATAATGTCGTCATGGTTTCATAGAGCGTTGCGTTGTTAATGTACATCTTCATTATCCCCCGGGCAGTGCCACTGACTGAAGTGTCTTTAGGCCATTCCCAAAGGGGGGACATATCTCGTTCAAGCTTAGTAGAATGCCTGACTCATGTCACACTCATAACTGTGCCTGATCTACAACAGGGAACTGCTGCTTTTTCTTTCCTGATCCTTACTATTGTCATTTTCCTCTACTTCTTTTGTATGTTTGTCACTCCCTTGTGACCTGCTATTTTGGGGTGCCTTGATAGTCGAAGCAGACCTTATGCTGTTGAAGCTAGAGAGGTGAGCAGTCTAAGCCTGATTCCCTTTAAAGACTTCTCTGTTGACACCCACCCCTTGGCGCTCATATGACCTTATGCAGTTGCAAGCGCCGTAAAACCTTCTACCATAATACAAATACATCTTCATTGTTTCATAGAGCATTGTATTGTAATGTCATCATTGTTTCTCAGAAGATTGCTTTCTTAACATACATTGTCAGTTTCCAAAAGCATTGCTTTGTGAAAGTACATCTTTCTTTCCTAGAGCATTGCTTTGTTAATGTACATCTTCATTGTTTTCTACAGCATTGCTTCGTTAAAGTATGTCTTTTATTTTTCTCTGACTAGGTTTCTATATACTCATTGTACAATGGTATGACATAGCAGTTTAATGACCCAGTGGAATCAATAAATTTGAATTTATTTATTGGTTTGGATTTTTTTCATTCATATATTTAATTAGTGATTGAAATGCCCGACTAACTGCTTTTCCTATTTCACTGTCCCTCTCTCCCCCTCAGTTGGCCTTTGAATGCTTGGCTCTGGTGTCGACCGCCCTCACTCTACTGGACGCTGGGGACCTGGCTGTGTGCAGGTGGGTTGTGTGTTTATGTATCTGTATTTGTCTTTGTAATCAATGGAAAATAGAGAAATCAGAAAAATGAAATGAAAATGTATTGGACGCACCCTGAAAAAATTTTTAATAAACTTTACCCACCAAGCCTTAACTCTTTATGCCCTGAGTTTTTTCCTGTTTCCTAAAGTTTTTTTCTACAGTTACCTAAACCTAGTGCATATATGTCTCATTATAACCCCAAAAGCTTGCCTCCAACTTCTAAATAGTGGAAATAAAGGCTTAGTCATTACTAAACTAAAAAACTTGGTGCGGGAATAGTTCCGAAAAACTAGCAAAAACTAGCACTAATAAAATGAAATAGTTGTCACTAGTACTGGACGCTCCCAGCATTATCACCCCCGGACGCTCCCAATGTCCGATGGGGTTCAAAGAGTTAAGATGGAATCCACAAGGAAAAAGAAAGAAGGAAGGCTTAAAAGTACTTGGAGGAGGGTTGTAGATTTGGGTCTAAATGATGGGATATAGCTGGACAGCGGTTGAGGAAATAGCCCTGGATGAAGAACATGGAGAGCTATTGTTCATAGCCTATGATCTGTCAGGAGCTGAGAAAGGCCAATAATGATGATGATTTGTCTTTGTATGCTGCATCTGGTGGGTTGTGTGTATATGTGTGGGTTTTATTTGGGGGGGGGGGGAGAATAGCACACTGATGTGATAAGACCTGCTATCATTTCTACTTTACTATTTTGATAATCATTCTCTGGTGAAATATTATGGCCATTATCTCACTCTCTCGCAGTAACCTATTGTTGAACTTCAACATTATTATGTGTGTTAATCTATTTGTTACATTTTATAAATGAATAAAACTGAAGCTAATATACATTTTCAAATTATGTCAGATGGATAGATAGATGAATAAGAATGTAAACTCATTGAAGTACATACATTATTATATTTGCTTTTGTTATACAGCCAACTCATTCATTTTCATAATTTTTATCTTTCTGTATCTTAGTTTTGGCGAAGAGGTTCGGCTGTTACATCCTTTTGGTCAACCTCTAACCTCTCAGGCCGGAGGTCAAATCCTACAGCACCTGACCTGTGACCAGAAACAGACCAAATACGGACTGGTGAGTGACCGCATGCGGGCAGGAGTTAAGAAGAGATGATACTATCTTACCTTCGCAGGTTCTATTTTAGGGGGCTCCAGTGACCCAGTGAGGAGCGAGTTCAGACTCAAATATAATGTTTAGCAAGGGATGGTGATACAGGGTTTAAATTGGTGGTCGCTGGGGTGTGGCCGTGAGCAAGACACGACAGCTGTAGCTAAAAAAAGAATCAGTGCGCTGCTCAATGGCGACTAGCATTGGCATATTTGTAAAATTGTTCTTCATTGGTGTAAAATTGTGTATTTGTTCTTTGAATATATGTATGTGTTAATTATGTATTTATGTTTTCCATTGTTATCCAGATTTCCCCAGGAGAATCAAAGTAAAATTAATTTAATGTTTGTTTTTATTATTTATTAATTTATTTTTAGTGACATTAAAAAAAATTCTGGAAGTCTCAGATGCCCCGAGCTCTCTTGTGTGACTCTTTATTGCCTGGCTTTTTTCAATTTTCGTTGCCCACACACACACACACACACACACACACACACACACACACACACTCACACATATGCTCGCATGCAGAATGGATCATAAACACTCACTCCCACACTTACCCATAAGC